CTGGATCCAAGTTTGAAGAAAAAATAGAGAGAGAGGAAGCCGAGGGTGACTCAATAATTGAGTGAATAAGTGCAATTTGTTTATATATATATTAATTTGACGAGGCTTGGGTAAATCTGAACCGTTCGATCCATAAATATTTGAATACTGGAAAAGGGAGGTTATATCCGTCCATAATAATAAATGAATCGCTCTTATTTTTATGCAAAGGGTTGCGTCTATCCCCAAACACAACAGATATGGGGACCACTACCCAGAAAAAATGTGGGGCCCACGACAGCTCACCCTGCTCTGTACTAGCATAATCCTCTCACCACGACCAACAACACTGCGTGCGTCTCACACTCTCTTTAGCTGACGTGGCTTTTTCAACAAATTTAAAAATAAAATGTTTCTAGAAGGAATAGCATTATTGTAAATCCTTGAACAAATGAACAATCCTTAGAATTCAAGAAACAGAGAATGTTGTAAATCTCCCAAGAACAAGACATGATTCCCAAGAGGAATCACTCTCTTCCCAACATCATTCGCGACGCTAAGTTCCTTGCAAGGATCGATCACGAACACTGTTTCGATCTTCTCGTTCGAACCAACATGAACACGATCAAAACCAATCAGCTGTTTCTCCGGAACACCGAACAAAACCGGAGGCATTCTAGAGTATAGCATCAAAACATGACTACCGTCGATTCCTCCGGTATTGGTTACGCTAACCCGCACGTTAAACCGGAGAGATTCGCAAGAGTTTACCACCGAATCATCATCGAGCTGTAAGTATTGGAGCTCTTCTTCTCCGTTTTGGAGTAGTTTCTTGTGAGAAGGTTGTGGAAGAAGTTGTTCTGATAAGACAAGCTTGCTCGGAGCTGATATGATCTTGTAATCGAATTTGGTGTAGCTTAAACCGGTTCCAAATTCGTAAACTTGAGGTCCGGTATAGAATCTGTATGTTCTTCCGGGATATCCACGAGATGAATTGGCTCTCATGTGCATATCCGACATTGGAACCTTGGTGAATGACTCTGGATACCACGTCATCGGTAATCTCCCGCCTGGTTTCAAAAACAGCTTGGTTTAATCTATAGTGGAAACAGAATGAAAAAAACAATCCATCTAGTTTCATTGATGAGGGACATCATAAACCGAAAAACCGGATTGGGCACATGATGCTTTGATTTGTGTGGTGCTTTGATTTTTGTTGGGCTAACCTGGATTGAAGTCACCAAATATGATTTCAGCAAGTGCTTGTCCTCCGGTTTCACCTGGATAACCAATCCAGATGATGCCTCCGATTTTCGGGTTGGTTTTAGCAAAC